GCTGCGAGGCAATGGTGAACCTGGTGGTGGTACTGATGCTGGTGATAGTGGTGGTGGTGGTACTGATGTTGGTGATAGTGGTGGTAATGGTTAGGGACGGAGTTGGTGATACATTACGTTACGCTGGTGTTGTCAAGGACACAGATGGTGAGAGTAATGGTGTAAAGCTGGTGAAACTTTGAAAACAGGTGGTGAGTGATGGTGTAACGCTGGTGTTGTCATGAACAAGGTGGTGACGAGGGCAGTACTCATAACCTTTAAAACTGGCGTGAACAGCTCACTACTGTGGTACCTGGAGAGGAGGGTGAGGACACGGGGGGCACACTACCCACTTACCCATGTGATGCAGTGAGTTATGGCATCATTCTCTGGAGTCACTTTATATATATGCCTGTGTACACCGTAAGTTAAATTGCATAAAAGTTTTAACCTTCAAAATAAAAATAAAAACCCTGATATAGCAGTACCGTGTTTATAAAAATCGAAGAACTTGCTGCCTACAAAGTTTACAAACCACACACGTGACATCACCAATCCCGCATCATCTCTGATAGCGTTAAAAATCAATGTTTAAGTCACGTTGAGAATCAGCATATGAACCGAGTTAACCAGAGTGACATTACCCTCGGTATGTTGACACACACTTAAAGCACAGACAACAACCAAACAATCCCTTTTTTTAAGCAACAGTTCAGAGTTCAAGGTTATTAACTCCATCTGTTACTGCTAGTGTCCTCGAGCTTGTGAGTAACCTGGTCAAGGGCAATCTTACTATAATACAAAGAAGCCTTGAACGCACGCATTCACACACACCAGGTGAAGCGTTTAATAATTCACACAGATAAATTATCCTAATATTAAGGATCTGTGGTCCAAATTTAATAATTAACTGCCTTAACAATGCCCTCGACTCTATGGTATCATTATGACAAATAATTATTAAATTATCAAAACTTCACACTCTAGGGCCTAAAGTATTAAGTTTTGATAATTAATTCTGCTAATGAATATGAGGAAAACTTAATAACATGAATTTCAACTTGTTGCCCACAGAGCCTTAACATTAAACTAATGACCAGGTAGAAATAATGAGGATATCCGTCGTCACCAACTATGAGTGTGTACAACAATTACTGTGAGCAGCCGGCCGTCTGGTTAGTTCAAGAAATTATTAACATTAGAAGCAATAAGTGATACATTAACAACCACCACCTCTGACAATTGGTTCAATAGCCCATTTGATCTATGACGTCAGTTGCGCTGAGTAATCAATGAACAAATGTATCTAGATAAATATTTTATGACCCATGACGTCAGAAGGGCCATATATCCAATCACCTGTGGTATCAATGACGTCAAAAAATGTCACATGTTTCCAAATATCGTGTTGCTGCCAGACACATGGTACTGCCCACACTTTAACTTATATAATAAATGCTACAATAGACGTCACCTCCCTAAGCGCCTCACAGACAGAACACAACAATAATACCAATCTCCAATCACCAACCTGCGGAGTGACAACCCAGGTAAAAATATATGTTTATCAGAAGTAAACATAAACATTACTGATATATGGTGATGACTTCTACTGTATAAGAATTACACTTAAACATTGTATATGTAAATGATGATATGTAGATTTGGGTGATAAACATTAGCATAGTTTACGATGTTTAAATAAATAGAAGATGTACGGTTACTGCATGCTCCATGGAGGGGGGTGAGGACATATGCTGTGATGAAGACAGCTGTTTGTATAAGACGATAAAGCCACGAGAGTTATGCACACGGCAGCTGGGACTTTAGTTAAAAATAAAATAAATAATCTAATCCACTTTTTTCCTTACTAATCTGTAGATCTGAAAAAAATAAATGTTTTTAATCTATAATAAAAATTAGTATATAGCCAAGAGCGAAGGATTTTATATAAGAAAACATCATAGTCCTACACACACACATTAGCAGGGATGGAATATAAGGGAAAAAAATATCAGAATCCTATATAAACTTGAACAATCCTAAACTGAACGCTTTTACGATACTAGAGAACATTACACACACGTCAAACACACATACTTATATCTATCATGAAAAAAACAATAGTACTCAACAGGGTATTTGATTTACAGTAAACACATGGGAATAATGAAGACTGAAAAGGTTATTGATACTTTTACTTTTATGATTTATTAGCAATTGTTACTTAATCTGCAACTAGAGAACAAGTCTGCAGCTGTCTGTCTTGTAGTACATGTATTTGATGTACTCAATAGAAGTTATCAACAACGTAATTCATCTTTATTGGGTAGAAATATTACAAACATGCATAAATAGTAAAGTCCGGCAAATAATACAAATACCATTAACCTTTTCAGTCATTATTTCTCTCTATAGTTCCATATAATGAAACACACTTAATACTCTACATCAACTATACACAAAACATAAGCACATCACGATAGACATACAACATGGATTAAATATAGAGAAAAGGAAACAAATATCCTGATTATATTTTCAAACATAAAATATTTATATAAAATTAATTACCCTTAATAATATACAGTACATCACGTAAGAGATGACTAACAAACAAACATACACAAATGCTTTTTTACTCAACTTAACTTAATCTAACCTAACGCTAATCTACCCTAACCTTAATCTAACCTAACACCTCCCCCCCCCCCAGTAAGGGTTAATTATCAGGTCATCATATTTTTTTAGTAAAATCACTGATCACAAACTTCTGGACCATTGATAAAAAGTGCACAATTATTTTTCAAGTACAAAAAAATCCCTTTTTTGATACAAGGACAAAAAATCACGTTCTTTCTGTAAAAAAAAATAAATAAATTTCCCAGTGTATCAACAAAAGTAAATGGTCATAATGTTCCCCCTTGTCCAAATACAGCATTGGAAACTAATCCCATTCCATAAAACATAAAAGTGTAAATATATCCCGTTTTTTCAGATTAAAACTATTGAAAATTCCCCCCTTCCATTAAAAAAAAATGCAAAAATACCACTGAAAAAATCCCAATCCACTGACAGATACGTCACGAATTTCCCAGTCATTGTAACTCGATAATACCTCCCACTGTCAGAAAAAAAACAGAGGCTTTCCCGCGACACACACGAGTATAAAGCTCTCCAACGAAGGTCAGATACCACCCATCACCCACACTCCACTGCCACCTAATGTTGTAAAAGTGATCCTTCCTCACAAAAAACTAATACATTAAAAACAGCAAAAACTAGTCAATAGAAAAAGACTCTTATCCAATATATCAACAACGTCGAAACGGTAAAGAATTAATTATTACAACCCCTCGAGTCTTCAATTGGCTGGTCATCTCTAAGCAGCTCCCAACGCATACAAAACCATTCAGAGCTCTACAGTGGCCAGACGATGTCATCCAAGTATTATAAAGACCAGACCCAAAGGTCCTTAAAATCCGCTAAAGACCAAGAGACCTGAATCATTACATCTTTACTGGTATTATTAAGGCAAAGAGAAACATTCTTATTTGCGTGTACTACGATCTTATGTCTTCTGATTTGCAGGTCGATATGTGAGGATTGATGACGTCTGACGATGACACACACACACACACACACACACACACACACACACACACACACACTCAAATTTTACCCTCCTGAACGTGATATAATTACTTTATGAATTTAATAAATATGATAATCCATTTCCAAATGCTACAAAATCATAATTAACATAATGGCCATTTAAGCTACAGGCTGTCGCTATATCCGGTATTAATAATGTGATGAATCTATTAGTTAATGTTAGTAGCACATCACACAAACACATCAGCTAAATATTTCTATGTACTTTTTGTAGCTGTTGGACACTATGATGGGGATATGCCTTATGTATGTGTGGCCAAGTTTAGTCAGTCCAATGCTTTGTTTTTTCCGAGTTGATTGCTTGAATTTTTTCCGACAATTTAACTTTTGGGGGGTGGGGGGTGGGGGTGTAAGTGCAGCTTAACACATAACCAAAACCAAATCTTGAACAGCCTGTTTATTTTATCCTAATGTATTTTGTATAGAAATAACCTATAACATTTAAAACATAGCTACAATGCACACACACACACACACACACACACACACACACACACACACACACACACACACACACACACACACACACACACACACACACACACACACACACACACACACACACACACACTCGAAATACAATATACACCCTTTCAAAGATATGCATCTCGTCCCCAGTCGTATGCACTTAATATAAACCACTCACTCGGGAAACACTCAGGGTACATTCAAGTACCACAGGTGACCTACATCAGGTGACTGAATAGGCCTAGGTTAATTAGACCTTTAAAAAATCCCTCTCACACGAAAATCATATATCAGTCAGGTCTGTGAAGTTGACTATATTCATCCCCAAAACAATTTAACAAATGATACACTCACGGTAATATCTCCTCCATACACAACCGATACACTCGAAGAACAATGATCATGCACTTAATTCACGATACACATTAAATTAATAAGTTCTTTCATAATACACTTCATATCATTAAGTTCATTCATATTACTCTTAAAAATCCTTGTGTTCTTGAGATACACTTACAACAAACTCAATATACACTCAAAACACACACTATTAAGTAGATACACTCGAGATACACTCAAGATAACACCAGAACCAAGATATACACTAACGATACGCTCAAAATATAAGACCAATAATATTACAGAGATTGAATCACAAGACACTGAAAATGCACTAAATGCAAATATCATAAAGACACACTCACGAACAACACTTAAGAGGGCAGATTATTTATAGAATGCACTCAAGGGGCATTAATGAGTATGCACACGTAACACATGCAGTTTAAGAGACCATTCGGGGGAACACTCCAGAGAAATAGACTCACTGAACACTTATGATACACTCAAGACAAACTCAAGGGAAGTGAGACACTTACAACATTCTGAAGCCATGAGATACACTGAAAAGACACAACAGGACAGTTAATATACAGTCAATGTGGGATAGTTGAGATACAGTCAAGAACCACTCACACCACTGACTGGATTCACCATACACTCACCAGCCAAGAACACACACTCACCAGCCAAGAACACACTCACCAGCCAAGAAAACACACTCACCAGACCATAAGACATTCATAATACTCAAAACGTATTCACACAAAAACCTGTCAAGCAATATATATATAAACACATACATGAACATTTCTAAGTATAAAAAAAAAATATTCCTATAATAAAATTCAAATGTCCTGCAGTAAATATAACACTTATTGGCTATAATGTGTTTTCTTATTCTATTTCATTATATAATTATGTACAGTAATGGTATATCGCCCGATACGTAACTCTACCCCGTAAGAATAGTTTGCCAAATATGTATTTACACACGGTACGTTATTTTAGTTAAATTAGGTGTGTAAAGGTCAGGCGTAGGTTCGGGTAAGTTAGTGTGATTTTGATTACGTTAGGGTAGGGTAGGGTAGGGTAGGGTAGGGTAGGGGTTGGGAAGGGTAGGGGGGTAGGGTAGGGGTAGGGTAGGGAGGGAGGTGATGGGAGGGGAGGGGAGGGGTAGGTAGGGGTAGGGGTAGGGGTAGGGGGAGGGTAGGGGAAGGGAGGCAGTGGGGGTAGGGTAGGGTAGGGTAGGGTAGGGTAGGGTACTTTAATTTGGCATAACTTATAAAGATCTGTCACTATCTCTAAAGCACGTATAAACACTTCCATTTGACTATAATTATGAAAAATATACATTAAATATTTCCCTGCCATTATCTTCATTACACGAACGTCCGAGAATCCGACTCCATAACATTCAAATGAACATCACGAAGGACCAAAGTCGGCGGCTGAAGTCCATCTGATCCCCTATTTTTATTGACTTAATTTACTTTTCAAATGGTCATGAACAGACGCTGCCATGGCACACCGATTGCGAGTTATTTACATTATTATTCGAACCATGATGTGGTGGCATATCTTTTATTTCCCTTGTCTGAAATTAATCGTCGCTTAACCGAGCCTAATCTCCACTTGGGCGAAGCTTATCGTCTCTTGCCTGAAACTAATCGTCACTTGCCCGACACAATATTCAACTTATTTCAGCTTCAAGACCAGTACTAGCTATCAGGCAACACTCATATGTAATTACCTCATTGTCAAGCTATAAACTTAAAATACCTGTACTCCCTTGGTCATGGAAGGTAAGTGTTTAACTCGGTTCGGTTAGGTTAGGTTAAGTTGGATTATATTAGGTTAATTTAGGTCTGAGAGGGCTTCAGTAGGATGTATTGTATAAAGTTCTGTTAAGTGTGAGGTTTATTTTGATTAGGTTATGTTGCTAGATTATATATAACTCTAAAGGTTAGGTTAGTTTCGTTAGGTTAAGTTTGATTTGGGTAGTTTGATTAGGTTAAGATAGGTTAGAGTCAGTGAAGCTAGATTTGGATGAGATGTGTGTGTGTGTGTGTGTGTGTGTGTGTGTGTGTGTGTGTGTGTGTGTGTGTGTGTGTGTGTGTGTGTGTGTGTGTGTGTGTGTGTGTGTGAATAAGATATATCAACTTTACAAATAACGTTTTAAAAGTTTACAGCGCTTACGTCTACCAACGAAATGAATTCACGATGTTAATTGTCATCTTGGAAAAAGTATATCAGATTGCCCATTCTCATAATATTTAACAACAGGTACAATAATTCTGCACCTTTTATCCTGACGGGGGAGGACCTGTACACCCCAGGTCATCTACAATAGTTTTCCTGTCTACGATGCTTCCATAACTCTCCTGAGAAACCACAACACGAGACTCTACAGATCTTATCGGAATTAAATTATAAGTAAACGCTATACTGTTATGTACTGTACTAAATCCAATATTCCAACACACACCCACCCACCCACCCACCACACACCTACCAACCCACCCAACACACACCCAGCCACCCACCCACCCACCCACCCACCCATAATGATACATCGGAGCAAAACACAATCATACGTTCCATATATCATACCAAGACTGTGCCTTTACCGTAAGAGAGTATAAGAGCATAAAGAATTATCTCTATATCATACAATCTATGACCACCTCACCTCGTGTCAGTTATCACCCTTGAAAACCCAGGACAAAAGGGGTAATTTACTTTATTCCATCTCCCTTTAAAACAGGAAAAAAAGGTTGATGTATCTTATTTCATCTCCCTTTAAAAAACATGACAAAAGAGGAAATCTACCTTATTTCATCTCCCTTAATAATAAAAGGTCCAAAAAATTAACACATTGTCTCCCTTAAAAAAAGGGGCACTGTATTATACCTTTCCCATTCTCCCTTATAAAAAACCTAAGAAAAAAAAAAGAAGAGCTGTAGCTAATCTCAGAACAAAGGAGTAAAACACTGTACCGCAAAACAATACGACAAAAAAATACAACTATTCTAGAACAAATATACAACACATCCCAGGTCACAGGGAAATAAATTTATCCCAGAACAAAAATATATCACAATCCCAGAACACAAACTTAAAAATCTTGCCCCAGAACTAAAAGTTATCGCACCTCCTCAGCCCATGATAACAGGCCAAGAGGATATCGTATTCAATCCTACAACAAAGGATATCGTACTCAACCCTACCACAAAGGATACTGTACTCAACCCTACCACAAAGGATACTGTACTCAATCCTACCACTAAGGATACTGTACTCAACCCTACAAAGGATATTCAACCTACCACAAGGATACTGTACTCAACCTACAACAAAGATACTGTACTCAACCCTACCACTAGGATACTGTACTCACCCTACCCAGGATACTGTACTCAACCCTACCACAAAGGATACTGTACTCAACCCCTACAAAGGATACTGTACTCAATTCTACCACAAACAGTAGAGCCTCAGAATCCTACTTCCCATAACACTCCAAAAAGACGAAAGGAAAATCACATCCTACGAGCTGCAAATACCAGAAGAAAAGGAATAAAGTCCCCAATCCTTCCTATGGTACTTAGTCAAGAGGGTTCTTATCCTATCCTACCCAATCGGTCTCTGGCACCCAATCCCCCCAAAAAAAGATCGAATCCTATTATAATTGTCTTAAACTCGTAAAACAAAAGGATTATCGTACCTACTGCTATCGTATTTTGTCCGGTACTGGATACTAAAAATGGAATCTTCACTACTTAGTTATCGTGAGCTAATTCAAACTATCGTAAGCTCACAACCAGAATAAATTAAATTAGAACAGGTGGTCCTGGGCTATCGTAATAACAAACAAGGAAAAAACTAAAGGAGAGTATTGTAACTGCCTACCGTAAATACACTATACCGTAACAACAGCCAAAACTGATATCATATGATCATCGTACTATACCTCCTGTGCTATACCCTAACTAAACACACAATATTCCTTCAACAAAACAAAACTAATGAGGTATCGTAACTACTCCATTATTCTGACATAAAATCTACCTACCGTAAACACACTATACAGTACCACCACAACAACATTAACAACAACAACAACAACAAGAAATAAGTTAAGTGGCCGCGTACCTCCATTGACGAGCTCTCCGTCTTGCAGTTGGATGGCCACCCCGAAACCTCCCAGCTTGACGGGGGCGCTGTTCTCCTTACAGGCCAGCAGGACGCAGTGAGGTTTGATATCTCGGTGGATGATGTCGTTCTCGTGGCAGTACAACAGCGCCTCCAGGATCTGACGCATGTAGTGGCTGCAGAGAAGAGAAGGAGTGATCAGTTTGTAGTGATGTTGGATAAATAAGTGTGTGTGTGTGTGTGTGTGTGTGTGTGTGTGTGCGAGAGAGAGAGAGACTAGCCTCCAGGGTCAGATCACACAGTACCTGGAGATAGAAGGGTAGAAAGAGGCAATAGGTTCGTGCAAGACGATTTAGAAGAAAAACAGGAAAATTATCTGCTTGAGGGGCGACTAATGGCCTCACGTCAGGTGGAGCCAGAGCACGAGAGAGAGAGAGAGAGAGAGGTGGGGAGAAAAAGTGAGGAGAGAGTAGGATAAAGGAGAACTAGATAATGGAGATTGAAATTCTAAAAAAAGTAAATGGGGGAATAAGGGAATAGGAGACAGATGATAAAAGAGACAAGGGGAGAGTAAGAACAATAAACACTATTCTCACCGTGATTTAATGGTTTTGGTTTAGTAGTACAAAAAAACCTATCACCTGGTTGCCGCTGTAAACCAATTAAGGTTTATACAAGGAGTAAATCCGGAGGACATTATCAACACAACTTCCTATAAGCTACACTCTTTAACAGGTCACATTAAAATCGAGTCACCAATTCAGAAAGTTAAAAGTTGGTAACGTCAATAGCCGTTTTCTATGTACTACTGTACCGTCAATTGCCGTTTTCTATGTACTGTACCGTCAATTGCCGTTTTCTATGTACTGTACCGTCAATTGCCGTTTTCTATGTACTGTACCGTCAATTGCCGTTTTCTATGTACTGTACCGTCAATTGCCGTTTTCTATGTACCGTCTAATATTTTCCCGTGTCTTGGTTGGGTTGTTTGAAGCCAGAGCAGATGATTAGACAATACGAAAGGTACAAGTTTTAAAGTAATATCCAGTTACGCAGAATAATTAGTAAAAAAAAAAAATACTGTTTACTAATTAAAAAATAATTCATTCAGCGCCACATCATATATAACAACCCTGTTTTTGTATTCATTTGTTCTACTAATTAAATGAACAATGACTCGTATAAATGAACTTTCATTTTACTCCGAAGCAGTTTTATCATCGCCAGTGTACGAGAATAATAAACATTCATCCTCATTAGCCTGTACCATTCAACAAGTGGATGAGCGACGTCATACTCCGTTCATCCAGCCATCTACTAGCCCTCAGCCGGCCTGACCTCTCAACACATCCATAAGTCTCCACTTCATCCACCCAATAGTTAGTGCCGGTCAATCGTTAATGGAAAGTGCGCCATCTATGCGTTATGTACAAACACATGATGCTGCCTGGAAATTTTCGGCTAACTTTTGATTCTGACCGTACATTATCTCAGTAAGGGGAGGTAGCAGGTCCTTGAGGCATGACAAGCGTGGTCGGCATCACAATCACACGAGTAGTTATTAAACGTGGCAGACCAAGACCGTAGAGTGACCTGGTGGCGGCAATCAACACCGGGACATACACAAGGTATACAAGTACACACACACACACACACACACACACACACACACACACACACACACACACACACACACACACACACACACACACACACACACACACACACACACACACACACACTGATGCTGCAAACTACTAACACACAACAGCTCAGAGATTTATGAGCAGCGACAAACACCAGAGCTGTCAGCAGGGAGGAATACGAAGCTCACACATAAATCTCCGCGATAATACTAACTTGATAAGTGGCCATAAATTTCCGAATCAAGAACAACTTCATCGCTGGAATATTAAATCCCAATGTGTCGGAGGATTTCGCAAGACGACGCTCTTAACTGAATGGGGAGGGGGGGATTTAAATGGAAGGAGGATTTGTCTGGAAAAGTGGATAGAAGTTTTTTTTATGTGGACTATGATACAATGAGAGAGAGAGAGAGAGAGAGAGAGAGAGAGAGAGAGAGAGAGAGAGAGAGAGTCGACGAATCCCCTAGACGTGCACATATCAGCCCTGTCCCAAGGAAGCCAACCAAATGGCCAGCCAAATGAGAGAAGCCCAAGTAACCTGCCCTATGGTATGACTGACACACACGCGCGCACACACAGTCTATACCTCCTAATCAAAAAATTCCATTTCTTTCTTGGAAACTAAGGCTCTCTCTCTCTCTCTCTCTCTCTCTCTCTCTCTCTCTGTTCTTGCCAACCCATTTCGTTTCTCTCTTGATAAAAAAACAAAAGGTCGCTCGTTCCTCATCATACTTCATTAGGAACGTTTCATCCCCAGGCTCTCTCTCTCATTTTTTTAATAATTTATTCAAGAGGTCAAAGGAGGAAGCCGGGTGATTAAGGCTAACTTTCTGATAGCATTATAACTAAAACTAAGCTCACAAACACACTGCTTTAGTCACGACAACAACATGTACACTTAAGAGAACTTATTTTTGAGGAGATATAAGATCAAATATATTTTCCTATTTTGTAGTTTGTCACCAATTTTCACAATGCATAGTTTCCTCACCAGTCTCTCTTCAGGAAACGGGAATATAATATGGAGGGAAATTAACTCTTAGAATATGAAAACTGTAAAAGAATTCACAGAAAAAAATAATTGTCTCCCCTGTGGAAAATATCAAGAGAAAACGGAACAAAATCTCTAGAAATAAATAATAACTCGAAGTCTCCTCTTTAGATACCGTTTACACAAGACCTTCAGGCGTTCATGAGATACACAACTCTACACAACAACTAGTAAAATGATGAAGAGAACTATCACAGACCTGACCTGACCTGACCTGACCTGACCTGACCTGACCTTACCTTACCTGACCTAACCTAACCTCTTTCATTTAACAGAGATATTTTTTTCCACTCAACATCTGAATCTCCTTTCCCCTAATTCCCTATTTTTCTAAATGTAAAGCTGCCATCTAGATCCATTTACTCACTGTCCTTATCTACCAGCAACAAATTCTGGATGTGAATAAAATTAACTATAAAAAATGCTACGTGTTACCACTGAGAGAGAGAGAGAGAGAGAGAGAGCTCCTGTCATCTGTACCATCACAAACCTACACCTTCGCTGTATAAGACACACACTTTTCTTTAATCAACAATCGATATTCTACCGCTCGTTAATGTCTCCCAATAACCCACAAATACCCTCATAAAAAAAATGGATTTTGAGATTGCCATTTGGTAAAAAAAAAGGGGGGAGGGGGGGGGCTTAAAATTTTACCTGGTGGAGCGGGATTAACTCCTTTGGGTAAGGCAACTTAACCCTTGATCAAGAAGGCCATTAGCCCTTTGAGTGCCATGCTTAAATCCCCTTAGGGTGATGTCTTAACCCTTTGAATACGACGATCTTTTCCCATGAGAATTGACTTACTCACGGCTCACCTCTCACCAGACGACCATATCACCTGAGCCTCTGAGTCCTCATCTCGACCCCTGACCTTTTACTCTAACCCTTGACCCCTGAACCTGATTCCTTATGAGTGTCTAACCTTTTACTAAGGTTCTGGCCACCTGAACTGACCACCTGAACCCACAACCCCTCACCTGAACACCCTGATCACCTTACCTGGCCACTGCCTCACTGTACACGAAGCCAGACATCGCCCGCTTAACGATCTCGAAGCACAGGTCCGCCCCGTCCATACTGAGGAAAAAAAGAAAGGTGTACAGTATGTTAGTTACCGTGATAAAGGCTACGTCGTCGTCCATACTGCGAGGAGAAAGACATATTAGTAATCTGAAAATACTTAATGAGGAAAAGCATGAATTAGTTGGAGGGTATAACTTATTTAATCGTTGTTCATACTGGGAAGGAGAGGAAACTTAGAGGAGTAATACTGGATTGGAAAGGGAAAGATAAACGGTAGATGGAGAGGGGAAGGACAAGAGGAGAAGAATTGGAAAGAAGACGAAAGATAGGAGGGAAGAAAAAGAATAGGAAAGGAGAGAAAAAACTAGGGAGAATTGAATGGGAAAGGGAAGAATCCAAGGAAGAGGAAAGAGGACTTGAAAAGGAGAGAAAAAAGATATGGAAATGAGACGAAAAAATGGAAAAGGGAAGAATAACGGAGGGAAAAGAATGGGAGAAAAGGGGAGAGGATAAAGGCAAAGATAGGAATGGGACAGGGAACGGCGAAAGAGAGGAAGAATGGAAAAGAGGATGATGAAAGGGAGGAAAGGCCTGGGAGGGGGAGAACGACAGGAGGGAGGAAGGGGTTGTAACCTGGCCACGAACAATCGATATACTGAGGATTTATGACCACACAGGGCATACTGGGCTGAATTTTTGGTGTGTGAGAGAGAGAGAGAGAGAGAGAGATTAACTCTCTACCTAAGTAGAGTAGTCAATTAAACAGGAAGGAGCACCATTATACACCATTATACACCCTGGTCAGTTTTTTGGGGGGCCATTATATGGAAGATGACTGGACAAGTACTGGGCAGAATAAGAAATAAACCTAGTGACTGCCACGGGAAGTAATTTTGGACCTTTGATTCGTTAGTTAAAGACTTTTTTTTGAACGGTTCAATAGTAAATTCTACAAAACAGAACAAATAATTTCAAAACAGTATTGGTGAACTATGTATTTTTGTTATAAATCTGAAAAATATGAAACGTTTTCTTACAGACAGATAAGGAATATAATGAGATTTAACAAAATATAAATATGTTGACAAATATGGTAGAAATTGCAAGACAAAGTTTAAAGGGAAATTTGTCTGAATCCAGCTCCATTTTTAAAGACCGATGAGACTGGGTAGCGTAGACTTAAAATTCAAAACAGACAATAAATATTTTAATTTATTTCTGATTTTTTTTAATTATCCATTGTACCGTAATCACATGAGCTGCTTTATTTACGCTTCAAAGTGAATATATAACGCGTGTGTTTTTATTTTAAGTTCAATAGTAATTTCATGCCGAAACAAAAGTCCAAAGGGTGCACTCTAACTTTTTTTTATCGTCTACTTTCTTTTCTTCCTCATACATACTCAGTATTTTTGCATTTTTATGTATCTTTATTTTATACGAGAGATTATATCCGCTTAGGTGCACTCTAACACACTTTTCCGCACTAAGAGCAGAGGTTCGGTGAGGCAAGGTAGAGTCGGAGGAAACACCAGCTACACTGAATGCAATAAATGCTTTTACATTTTCCCTTACGACGAAAGGTCAAATAAAGCTTCGCGCGTACTGAATTAAAATTCTTTATACAGAGTTTGGTAAGTGTTTGTCCAGTCTGTAGTCAAGTACAATAGTGACTTATAAAAGGCAGGGTTAAACCGCTTCAAGTTCTGCATTCACTTTACTTATGGTTACATTGTATAGGCTGGGGGCGCCGTACACTCTGCCCCCATAACGTTTCGTCTAAAAATCAATTTCGTAATTTTCGAAAACAATAACATATCAATGATTTTTTCCTAACCAATAATTATATCAACGTACTTTAGTAGCATATGATCAAACCAAAATACATAAATCCACTAAATTTTTGCAATATAAAATATTCAACTGCAATCTGGGCAGTAAAATAATGTCATTGTACTCAAAATAAAACAAACAGAGAACAACATCGTTTCATCATAACAAACCAACAAATTTGATGCTTTTACAACATAAACAACAATATACCAACGCAACCTTTGATCATATAAAGTGATATTAACACAGTATTCTTAATATTAGTATAAAACTACATATTTCTTATCACAAAAATTAGCAAAGCCTGATTGTTTATTCGAATAAGGATATCAATATAATTTTTGCAATATTACAAACACCATTCAAGTTTGTGCAACGTAAGAACATACCAACTGTAACATAAAAAAAAACAGACGTTAGTATAATAAAAAAAATAATAATAAAAAAATACCAGAACAATTAGTACCATAAATTTAGGAAAACAAGCTGAAGGTTTTGGAATGGATCGATTTCGACATAGGCCTACTATGTGTTATAGGAAATGTCGCCTCCCGCACAGAAGCTTTCAACAAAGGTCCACTTCGTAATCTGGATGAGAATGAACTACTTAATAGACGAGGAAACAAGATTCGATTACCCTGCCTACAAGGGGATCGATTTTTTTTAATCCGGCCGAGTAACAGGATCCAACTTGCTCTAAAACCGGAGATAGATTCTTAGGAAGTAATTAAGTCAGTCTTGATTAGATATTGGGAAGGGATTGAAGTTCTATCAGGATTGGATCCTATTATCCTATCGTTAACTGAAAGATCCGATCACTTCTGGACCCTGCTACCACAGGTTAACTGAAAATTCTGATCACTTCTGGCTATTACTATGATCTTAAGTCGACTATACGATCCGATCACTTCTGGATCCTGTAAATTTACTCATCCTCGTAAAGCAAAAGGATCTAATCATCTGTGGATCCGGTTATCCTGCACTAATCGAACGATCCGATCGCCTGAGGACCTTGTTATCCTAACACTTAACAGAGGGATCCGATCACTTCAGATTCCTGTTATGTTACATTAACTGGAAAATCGGGCCAGTGGTGAAGCCTGTTACATTACTTTGAATAGAAGATCCGATCGCCTCTGAACCCTGTTATCCTACATCAAGCAGAGGATTAAGTTGCCTCTCTCTCAGTTGCCTCTAAGTCCACATCCTCTTTAAAGACACCGATGTTTATACCATTCCACATCCTCGTAAGAGACGCCGATGTTTACACCACCAATATTAACCACGCCCTCCGTCACCAACGACTCAGGTTAAATACTTTAAGTTGTATTCTATAATTTACTCGTTAAACCTGAAGAAGTGACAATGCCCTTGACTAGCTGTGACTCAAGACATGACAGAGGGAAATGTATCAAGTGACGCCGTTATATTGCTGACACTCTAGCAATTACTGGCTACCTCCTGCCCCTATCACTTGCGGGGAAAATGTAAGGTTATTGAGGACTAGTTAACTGCACGTTCTTCTTTTACTAGTTATGATACCAGTGAGAGCATCAGGAGCTACGTAGGATCACTTTTCACCATCAACGGGGAAAATATAACGAACGGATTTTTGAGAATAGTCAACGGATAAGTAGATGTGCACATTTCTGCCTTACTCTAGAACAAGCAGTCACAAGAGGACACATTATTCTTACTTAAAAATATTTGGGGAAATTTTCTTAACTTTTAAAAGTAAAATAGCAATTCCAGTCGTATACATTTAAGAAATAACTTGGGTGTTTATCATGTAATAATTAATGAATTTCTAGTATGGTACATATTTTATTAACAATTATAAAAGGAATTTGTAGTAGGAAATCCACTTCCCTGCAGTCGTTGTCCCACAAAAGATAATTACATTGAATTTAGTTTATATCTGTCATACTGCTTTCGGATATAATTTGAGATTAAAATTGTTATAATGTTATTAACGGTGAGCAGCATTTTGTAAATTGCATTATATCTAACTTACATTACGAACCCCCTCACACATATATATATATATATATATATATATATATATATATATATATATATATATATATATATATATATACATATATACACAGTATAATTACTGAGTTTGTTGTGCTAAACTACACATAAGTAGAGGTTCTTCCTCCATTAGTTACATCCACCTTACATATCTTACCCTCAACTCATTAAAGTCCTGTTATTATCTCCGCCTCTAATGAGGTCACGCATAGTTTAAAGGAAGTTGTTGGCAAGCGAACAATACATAAAACTAATTACAGCTACAGTCAGGAGGACTTAGCGGGAATAACTGAGGTCACAGTACGAGGGAGTTTAAAACAGTCTTGCTGTAGTCACAACTAAAGAGAGTCACCCTATTAATTAAAGCCAAGGACAGAGAGAACAAGTTACAACAACTAGAGAGTGATGTAAAACCGCAGCTCGAAAGCCACAAACACCAGTATTAAACAAGCTGGTCGAGACACAAGCATAGGTGGTGGGTCTCTGGAGGAAGCTACGACCACAACAACACACCGGTACACTACAGGCTGCTTCAAGTTGACTCGTTTCATTCAATTTACTATATACTGTATATTGATGCTTGACCACGCACTTGTTACCTTATACATTTTCCCTCAAGTTTTCATTAATGTTTGAATCAAATTCTCAAAAGTTTTAAGGAACATTTAAGTAAAATTTCCCCTAAGTTTTATTAATTATCTAAGTAAAGTTCCCATAAGATTTAGTAAACTAGTTAAAGTCTAAGTGAAATACCCAAAAGTTATATTTAGTCTAAATATGTTTCCCTTCATATCTAAGACTTAGGGTAAATTTACCTTAAGTCTAGGTAAGTTTTCCATAAGTTTTAATCACCATTTACGATAATTACCCTTGAGTCTTAATTAACGGCTTAGTATATAATTTTCGCCACAGTTCATTTACTATCAACGCTTCAAGATCACCATCAGCTTAACCTTCCACATAATGCAGTAACACACTACATCACTAAACACTACATAAAGAAAGCACTAAAGAAAATGTGAAAAAATAAAAACGTAATAAAGTAAATACAGACACACAATAAAGTAAAAAAATAATAAAATAAATACAGCAACACCCGGGACTACACTACTAGTAACTCAGACCAAAACACCAGTAAGGACTCCTCTGACTACAAGAAGACCAAGAAGATACTCAGGCCGTTTAACTGAAGTTTTAAATTAGTATAGAAGGGATATTGTGTACAAGGGCAAGTGCACAAGGGGTTAGACTACAAGGGCTAGAGTACAAGGGCTAGAGTACAAGGGCTAGAGTACAAAAACCACCGTACAAGGGCTAGATAGAGTACAAGAAGGACACCAATTCTTCACAATTCGGTCGGGGAACAAACTCATGACCGAATATTTCTCATCTTACGGTATTTACCAACACATTTATATTAAAATAATTATTAACTTGCCATCCATTTGATCTGGATAAACATAAAGGTACAGACTGGGTCACAACAAACAGTAATTTGTTTAGCTGGAATTTCTGACGTATTGACCGAACACAATGACGTCGCAATTACAACCTGTGTGAGTTAGTTATATTGGAACTATAAACATAGGTTAGATTAGGGTTAGGTTAGGTTAGGTTAGGTTAGGTTAGGGTTGGGTTAGGTTAGGTTACCGTCAGTCAATATATAATTAGTAATTACCCGACATAAATAATCCTTATAAAATCATATTAAGTCCAGGGATAACTAGGAAATATTTTTGGCATACAAGTCTAATTTCAAAGTAATTTATTCACAGATAATTAAGACGTACCATCCCACTCTTCTCCATTATCATATATCTCTGGCACAAGGACAACTCTCTGACTCATCCCCATTCGAGACGGAACATAAAACTTATTATCCAATCAATAACAATAGGATCCTATGAGTATTAATTGGTTAAATCATTGTCAGTCAGTCATAGTTACAAGATAGTTAAAGTAAGCTCAATAACAAGTCATCATTATCATCATTATTGTTATTTACCATTCTCATCAATCACTAATAATACCAATACCATCATTATCATCGATCCAAATCCCCCCCCCCCTCCCACACCCCACTATTCGAACTAAGAACAAGCCAACGAGACCCGGAATCATGGAACACAACTCGGCAATCTCTCTTAATTAAACGGCAAACACCAAAATTTAACTCGCCCGTACGGTAAAAATCATAATTAGATCTTAAGCAAATATGAAAGTCAACAGTGAAAGCAAGACTTCAATAATGAAAGCTCAGGCTCTGGGAAATATACACACACACGCTAGTTTATTCATACACAGTGTTTAATAGAAAGTGAGAGAGGTGAATAGCCGTGAACCCTTCCCTTTACGTACACCCGCCCCCCCAGCCCCCATGGGAACTAAAGCATAATGTACACTCCTACACGAGGAACCTAAAGGGAATAATTTAAGACCCCAGAGTGCATGGTGAGGGAAAGTGAGTAATTGAGCCAGAGGAAGGCGTAGGAAATAAATACGGGAGAGAGAGAGAGAGAGAGAGAGAGAGAGAGAGAGAGAGAGAATATGAATGGTGGTAATGACGATGAGGAAACAGGAAGTGTTTAAAGCTACAGAAAAAAAAATATTCCACAAATATTTCCTCATATATTTATCTAAATGTAAAAAAAGGAAAAAAAAAACACGAGCTCAGAATAAATAAGTACTCCGGGTAAGAGGGAGTGGGGGCGTGGGTGGGGGCGTGGGTGGGTGGCAGAGAGTATAAGAATTTCTGCAGTTGTCGATCCTACTAAAATTTACCAACGACTGGGGAGCCTTGTACCACAACTAATGTCAATATCAGGCTCATAAAGTATTTACAGTACTTCTCCGTGTTGAGTTAGTGGCCTTTATGGTTAAGGTAAGAGGGGGAGGAAAGAGAGGGTAAATATTCAGGTTGATGCAAGAGTCGCTAATAAGTTCTCAACTGTGACAATCCTCAAAATAAAAATAAAAAATAAAAAAATAAAAAAATAAAAATATAAAAAAAGTAAAATAAAAATAAAATATAAAATAAAAATAAAATAAAATAAAATAACAATTCTTCCTTAGGCTTATTTCCCATCAAAAAATCGAAGGCGGGGAGTCTCATTGCTCACTAAATCAATACACATAGCTAGTTAGGGCCATTTACTTCAAGGCTAGACGCACCGTTTCATAAATGATTAGTTACGCTCGTATATTTTTAGCTTATAATGGTTACATAACGTTCAAGAAATTGTGTCATCACTTTTTTTTTAAGTGCCAGATATAATGTTGGTTAGGTTAGGTCGTTATTACTGCCTGGTGTATGTTGGTTACAATCGACCAATCTCACAAAAAATATGGCCCCCACCACCTGATTCACGCCCCCAAAATCCCTTAATATCTACATTTTATACCAACGCGATCAGGTTAAAGTGGTTTTAATTGGCGTGTTAGGGGAGAGGGTCGGAGGGTTGGATGCCATGATGTCGACCCGTTTCACAGTTGTACGATTTTCAACACGCGAATATTCCTGACATTATTCCAGTAACGCATTCATTAATATAGTTCAAGCAACACCGTGCCATTACTGATATAGATCATTAATGACACAGGCCCAGCAGGAGCCTCCTACTGTACATAATGATGAATCGAGTATTTCATATTAGAGAAAGCCATAAGAGGTAAGAAATGAAGGTACAGTTGGCGTTTCAACAACTTACCCTCCATGTACAGTCCCCTTCACTAGCGCGTTTACAGAGGCACGTCATATAAACATCCCACAAATCATTATCTTGGGTATATTTGTTTTAATATTAATTTTAATTGATTCCATAGTATGTTTACTATTACGAGTTTCCTTCTGTCGAATGTAAACAAACACAGGGCTGCCACACTGCACACAACCTGACGAGCCCCTGTAAACGCACTAGTGAAGGGGTCTGTACAGTACTTCCTCAAATAAAATGGACACAACGCAACACACATCAAAAATCATTTCTACAATAAACAAAACACGAACTAGTTTAAAGGTACACATTTATACCCATTAAGAGAAGATAATACTCACTACTCAAAGACCATGTAGAGCATCCCTTCAGAGGAGTAGGTCTCCAGCAGCTCCACGATGTGTTCATGTTTGAGCATGTGACAGATGGTCGCTTCTCTCTTCAAATCTGCAGGAACCAGAAAAAGAAAACACGTAAGATATTTATGACTAAAATTTTTACAGTAAGTCATTACCAATAAAACAATAAAAAATATATATTTCCTGTATATAAATGCTAAGACAACACACTCGTATATTCTAGGCTCATACGAAGACAGGGGCAAGTCATACTGGAGGCTCCTGTAATAGCATAATTGGTCCACAAGTTGTCATCTCTACCAATGATCATAATTTGAGTAAGAACAACTAAGTCTGCCGTCTTTGTGAGTGTAAGTAGGATGACCTGAAAGATGTTTGAAGGATTATTTAATACATCGGAGATTACTTTACAGTTTTCTTTGATCTTAGGATTTAAAGGCGAGTAAAAAAAGTGTTCTTCATGAGCTACCACTTTCCCTGATAACTATAGATACCTGGGTACAGCAAGTATCTCTCTCTCTCTCTCTCTCTCTCTCTCTCTCTCTCTCTCTCTCTCTCTCTCTCTCTCTCTCTCCATTCCTCCTTCCCTCTCCTCTCTTCTTCATAACCACCCCCATTCTTCTCCCTCCCCCATCGTCTTATCAATCTTCATGGCCTCCTCTTCCTCCCTCCTCTTTATCGCCGTTCATAACTCCCTCTTCCATCCTCTCCTCCTCCATCACCACCCAGACAGCACCGCCGAGCACCCAACAATTCCCACCTGGCGGACATAATGAGCCTGGAACATGTGTGCAACATGTTACAACCACCACGTCTGGGACTTGTATTCTGCAAGGTTCGTACGTGAAAATCCCCCCCCCCCCTCGTAACTAGGGGTAAGAGTAGGCCTAGGTTTCTTGTTATGGTAGAGTGTCAGGACAATATCCACGTCATATGTAACGCCAGGGTGAAAATGTTATGTAAGATATTTTAGCATTTGGGTTCGGAAAATTATAGTTTCTTTAAAGTTTTCCCTTTATTGAAGACACAGGAATACAACACATCACCTCAGGCATACATTGATGGCGATGAAATTGCACTGTGACTCTAGACAGAATAAATAATATATATATATATATATATATATATATATATATATATATATATATATATATATATATATATATATATATATTTTATTTACGTAAAAATCTTTGTGAATCCTGGGATGACGAGGTTTGTAAAGCTGCCACATACAGCTTGAGGTAAGAGCTTTATTCCAAGTCGGGGGGGCGCGGATATAATCTTACGATTTTTGTGTGTGTGTGAATCAAGTTAGAAGGTAGTTTCATGAATTGGTCTCAGGGAAAGAGATAATCTTACATTTCCTTTTTTTCATGTCTGGATTAAGAACTAACGTACGAATCTTAGTGAATCCGTTGGGCGAGGAAGGCTGATCACAAGTAGCGAGATACGTGTTTTGTATTCCAAGTCAAGGTAAAAAAAACTAACTTAAGACTCTTTGTAAATCCACTACGTGTGGTTGGGAAGGTCAAAGACTCATTAGGCAACATGGAGCCGCCGCCCTCACCTCGCCATCACCACCACCCGGCTAATTTACGTCAACACGCGGGGAATAAAACAGAGGCTTGGATATGGCTGGCGGGGATATTCTCAGAGGAGGTAATTCTCGCTACAGCGTCTTGACGAGGAAAACACTGGCAAGAATGAAGGAGTAAAGCAGGGAATCTGTTTTTTATACGCCCTTTCAGCGAGCATATTGCGGTCTGGAGTTCTCCGTCCATCCGTCCGTTCAGTTCAGTTCTAGCACAAAGGGCGGATTTTACACCGTTCACCAGTAATTTTGTGGGAAGGTGATTCTTAGTGTGTGTGTGTGTGTGTGTGTGTGTGTGTATTCCTTTGTCTATCTGTATTTAAGCCTACATTTATTCAGAGCACTCGTGGGTGTAGTCGGCACAATTTTACGTATATATGTTGTTATTATGAATCCTTACAACACATATTGCTAAACTCACTTATATTCTTCGGTCCACAGAGGAAAAAAACTCACCACACACAACTCTCCAGCTTTACACTCCACCACCTCACTGTAAACTCCTAATACTACACTCGTATACATCTACAGCTCACAACGTTAAAAATTTTCAGTTCAACAAAAATGTAGGTACAAAAATATCAGTATTAAAATAGCGTACACACACACACACACACACACACACACACACACACACACACACACACACACACACACACACACACACACACACCTCTCCTAGATTAAATGTCAGTCTGGGGGGAAATAATACCTCACAGGGTCACATACAACACCCACTACTTCCCAATTCCATTCCCCATGTGGAAATAATGTTATTTTTAAAGATGGTGAAACCTAACCTAACCTAACCTAACCTAACCTAACCTAACCTAACTGAATTTCACTTAAAACTTACGCACGAACCCTTAGGAAAATATACGTAGGTAAATTTAAGAAACTTATCATAATCAAACCATATCTTGACTAATCTTATGAACGAATCACTTCCGGGAATTTTATATGGCCAAGTTTATAAACATAAAAAACTCTGCCTTAATTAACCTAACCCAATCTAATCTAAACTAACTTAATCTAACGTAAACTAACTTGACCTGACTTGACCTAACCGTTGACCCTTTATAGAAACAACTGAGTTTAACTAAAAACGACAATAGCCTAAGCGTAATAATTTTAAAGGAATCTATTACAACACAACACAATAACAATAACCTAACCTAACCCAAAATGACAGTACAGTAATATCACATTCCATTATAACAATATATTTCACATTTTACTTAAAAAATAAACCGGCTAATCGGCATATAACTTTTTTCATTTCACCCATAATCCGACCCCATTAAACTGTCTGTTATTCTCGTTCATATAAATGACTACACATCGCTACAATAGTGTCTGACGTTCTATTACTAAAAACTATGTATATATTCATTTTTTTTTCATGTTTATATTCGCATGGATGAGCCCGTCAAAATAAAGCTGATACACACACACAAATATACACGATCACTCCGCTAGTATCAAACGTTCACATTTTCAACAACAACTTTCACTTCGTCTCATCTGTATGTGTGAGTTCATTAACCTGAGACATCTCTTGAGACCGACACACTATTGGCTCCTTTAACGACAACTCCATTTGGTTATTACAAAAGATAAAATGAGACAACTGAGTGGATACAGCCCTCGTCTCTTGTCATAAGTGGGAGCTGGTTTACATCCACACCACCCCCTTTCGTCCACCCTTGTGTATATGGGCACCTAACTATACATGAGGAATGGTATGTATATTTATAAACATGATCCCCCCCCCCCCCAGGACATTATTACCTCTGACCAGACTACTTAGCACTGTGTTGCGCCCTCTGCGGCTCTTAGGGTGGCGTAAGTGTGGCGGTTTGTGGTGAAACTTGTCTCAGGTTAGTGGTAACTGTGGCACTAACAGCACGTACGCCTGAGTTATGTGCCTGACGAGACGCGCTGCCTCCCCTCCCCTTCCCCCCCTCTTCCTCCCCTCCACCCTCTTCCTCCCCTTTACTTGAGGAGCCGGAAGATGGTGGACGAGGAGTGGGAGGTGAAATAGAAAAAGAGGAGGAGCAGAGGAAAAGGGAAAGAAGAAGATGTGGAGGAGGATTAGAGAGAGAAGGAAAGGAATAGGAAAAGTAGAGGAAGAAGGAAAGGAAGGAGAGGTGGAAGGGAAGGAAATGAAGAAGGAAAGGAAAAAGAGGCGGAGGTGGAGAAGGAAGGAGAGAAAAGGAGGGAGAAAAGGGAATAGAAAGGATGTATATTACTAAAAAGGATATGAATATGAGACAGAGATACAGACAGACAGACAGACAGACAGACAGACCCGAGCAGCCGAGAACACAAGATTAAAAAACTTGAGATTAATAAGACAGTGAAGAAGAAGAAGAAGAAGAAGAAGAAGAAGAAGAAGAAGAAGAGGAAAAGGAAGAGGAAGAGGAAGATTGTCGAGAAGTCACCAACCATCCCAGTAACCTCCCCTCAAAATATATATCAATAACATAACCTCGAGACTCCATAAATAAAAATAAATCATGAAAGACCAACAATTGTTTCTGTCACCCCCAAAATAAATAAATATAAAGAGACCACATGACAAATCTCCACGTTAAATCTAATAGGTTAATCGGTACAAGCAATTCATGAAGATAATCTCTGGAATGAGGTGGAATAAAACTATCGAACTGTGTTAATTAGCCCTGAGGAACTAGAGTTATTAATAGCTGTATCATATTTGAAGTTCATCAGACAAGTTGTTCAGGTAAATAATTGGTAAATATCTTACGACCAAGTTAAAAGGTGAGTAAATTATCAGCCAGTCTTGTTTTCATGTCCAATAAGTATACCCTCAGACTTAACATATCGGCGACCTTCTGATGCAGCCTTGACCTTAACCAAGAGAAATAAAAACACCCGAATATTTATGTTTACTGGACAGAAAAACAAAAAACAAAAAAAAAACATGCATCGGTGAGCGCTTTACCATTCCTGCAGAAAATATAAAAAATCTGACTACAAATAAACACAAGTAGACGCTGACAACGGTGAAGACACAACGCCACCTAACCCAGAGTTCCGTAATCAAATAATTAGAGCATACAGACAGTGGCGTGATGAGAGAGAACCCATCTTAACATCGACCGAGCGAGTATTGACGTGTGAGGCAGGTGGTGAAGGGCCGCATGCATGGAGATTATATTTAGTACATGTAAAAAAAAACTGGTACGTCTGTAGTATGTATGAATGTCTCTCGTGTGTGTGTGTGTGTGTGTGTGTGTGTGTGTGTGTGTGTGTGTGTGTGTGTGTGTGTGTGTGGTTGATACGAGGTAAAGTTATATGTATGTGGGAAAGTGAACACATACACACAAACAAAATTAGATGCCCAACACTATTCGGTCAACATCCATCTGCTAAACTGCTCACCAGACTCGATTCCAACATCAGACGGGACGAAGTGTTCCAGTCCTTTATTTCATTAATCCTCTCTCCCTCTACTCATCTGATGTTGG